TTAAATGTAGTTTAATGTCCTGGTCTATGAACCAAGTGGTCCGGTGAAACTTTTTTGTTCCAATCGACTAACTGGGTCAAAAAGTTTCCATAAAACACATCAAAAATGTAAGGTCAGGATATAAAAATGCACTCATGTGAGAGCTAATGGTCAAAAAAGGGAATGAACCCTGGGCATTCCTAAAAAAAAATTAGCACAGAGCTGTGCTGCTCTGTACAGCTGTACATCTCCAGGTATATGAAAATATTCCATTGTCAATCATACAGCACCAGTCTGAAAATGACCAGTTTACCAGTTACATTACAGTGGGTCGAGCCACAAGGCAAAATACTGTCATAGTTATAAATATAATATACAACAATAGACATCCTGATCATAAAAGAAAGAAACAAAAGCAAACACAGAGCCTGACTTGAACTACTTCCACTTAAGTTCCAACTCAGGCGTTTCTAAATTTCTCCTTCTCCAGTTTTCGTCGTCATCCTGGTCATCCTGGTCATCCTTCAACTTCTCCAGCTCTAATTGCTGCACCTGCATTGCCCGTTCTGCAGGTACGGTCTCTGCACAGAGTGCATCACCTGATCGAGCAACGTCGTTGCCATGTGCGCCTGCGCGATGCGGCATCTTGGACCTTTAAATATGGCAACTCCACCTGGATAAACATTTTCAGCGTTTAGTGGTGACTCTACCTTAATTGCGGCTCGTTAACGCAGTCACACGTTCCTTCCACCCCGACTCCACCGTACAGTTGGATTACCGTCTAACGTGCGTCGCCAAAATGACAACTTTAAGCAAGTTTTATCAGTTTCTGAGAGATTGCATCTTTAACGATGTATTTTACAACACCGTTTCCACGGTATTTCCAGTCATCTACTACCTTATTTTGCCCCAAGCTGGAAAATGAGTTTGTAAACCACAGTCAGTTTTTCGATGTGAATGCGTCACAAACATACGGCAGAACAGGCTTAAGGAGAAAACCTAAAACGATTGCGGCGTGTGACGTCAGACGCTGCAAAGGTTCGCCACGTGTTCTAAATTGTCTCCTAATGACGGCTCGATCTGCTCCAGATGAACGACTAAGATAAAAAGGTAAGTAACACTTTTATTCCCTACTGTTGGTGTTTTGCTCAGATCCATTTTAGTTTAATAGCTCAGACTTCACTTGAAGTGGAAGTTAACTTTTTTTTTTTTTTTTTTTGAAACATTGGAAACAGTTTGTCTCTTTAACAAAGAGCCTTGGACATAAACTGCCCCTTCTGAGAGGACAGTAAAACAGGAGCTCGTGTGTGAAATGCAAGGTTACATCTGCAGATGCCACACAGTTCCATTCTGTCCAAAGGTTGAACATCTGACAAAATGGAGCAGTTTAATAAAAATGTTTGAACAGGTTAAAAAAAAAAAACTGTTGGAATTAAAAATGTACGTCTTTTTTATAATCTAAAGTAAAGTTATTGGATTCACCTGGTCTTTTGACTAGCTTTACTTCAGTTTTGAGTGGCTTTACTTCAAAATGACCTGCAACGTCATCCGTCTCATGTAAACAAACTCTGCTCAGATATTCCACGACACATATGGACTCTATATATGTATACATATATGCATGTCTGTATAGATGTGTATGTACGGTGTATATATATTTGTGTCTATATGTATATGTAATAAAACTAAATTGACTGCATTATTTATAGTATTAATTGAGTTCTGTTAGTATAATCTCACACTAAAACTTCAATGCTTAACATGACTTGTCTCTGGTTTATTTTCCAGATTGAACATCCTGAAGATCTTCAGCACAGTAGGGAACGTCATTTTTTAATTTTTTTCTTATTCTCTGTGGCCGCCGTGCCACTCCCGTGCTCTACTAGGCCGCTGTGCCATTTCGTATGCTTTACAAGGCCGCCATGCCTTTTCTATGCTCTACCAGGCCGTTGTGCCACTCCTGTGTGCTACCAGGCCGCCGTGCCTTGCTGCATGTGTGTGTTCGTGTTAAACATAGCAATACAAACAGCAAATGGTCTCTTGACATCCAGGCCTACCTGTCTCTTAACTAGTATCTCAGGAACATTTCTACCTTTTCATTTTAGAGTTAAACGGCAGTTCATATAATCCAAACCTTCCACAATTTTGATCCCTGTTTGCCCTCGTTTTCCACAATTTTCATCCTCGTTTGCGCTCGTTCCATTTTGGACGTTGCGGCCGTTGTCCACAATTTTGGAGGTCCTGTTCCCTTTCTACAATTTTGGATGTCCTGGTCCTTTTCAACGTTTGAGGTCATTTTCTGGCTGTCAGGCTGCTGCCCAGAGGGACTGCCAGAATTCCAGCTACATCTATCAATGTGGATGCCCAGGACCCTTCAAGTCATGTGAATGTGCTTGCCTTTGTACCTTTTGTCAATGTAAATGTACTTGCCTTTGTACCTTTTGTCAATGTAAATGTACTTGCCTTTGTACCTTTTGTCAATGTAAATGTACTTGCCTTTGTACCTTTTGTCAATGTAAATGTACTTGCCTTTGTACCTTTTGTCAATGTATACATGTAAATGTACTTGCCTTTGTAATTTTGTCATTCTGTACATGTAGCTGTGCTTGACTTTCTCAATGTATATTTATTTGTTCATTGTCTGTGCTGTCAGTCTGCGTGCACATGTGGTGATGGTGTTGGTCTACGGGGCAGTGGCGGCTTGATGGTTAGGGAGGCAAACTTGGGTCTGGAATGTTTCAGGTTTGAGTCCACCAGCTGCCACGTTACCTCTGAGGTGCTCTGAGCATGGCACCGTCCCCACACACTGCTCCCTGGGCGCTCACTTTGGTGATGGGTTAAAGGTCACATTTGGTTGTGTGCAGTGGTGTGCTGTGTCACTATGACAGTAGTTCACTTTCCTTCCTATACAAGCTCTGGAACTACGGTTTAATCTGCAGACAGTGACTTATCTGGTCTGTGTCTCTAGGGCTCCATAGACCAGAGTTGACTAAATATGGTGAAGACAGATCCTGGTTCAAGGGACCTGAGGTGAAGAGAAGGATTAAATTTCTATTTTAACCAAATATAAAATGAAATGTATCCAGGATGTTGATGTTTTATTTTTTTCCCCTCCCTCTCATCCTCTGTTGGCAGATGTTAGACTGGACCTTGTCAAGCAGACACGTGTACAAGACAACTAACATGAAAACCAGAAGCAGACTTTCAATGAAGAGCACCATCAAATAGACAGGTTTGTACATTAATTTATGTTTATATACTGTATGTTGCTTCCTCTTGGTTGGTTCCAATAGACCTGAGACTACAGAACTTGTAGAACCAACATCCTGTTCAAGTCTTCACTGCAGCCAAGATAATCTAGACCTGCCTCGTTCCTACTGGGTGTCTTAAGGATTGCACTAAATTATAAATCTCTGTTCTGACCCCGAAGGACCCAGGCCCACAACAGCTGAAGTTTCCATTCTAATCCCTGCTCAGTTGGATATGGATTTTTGGAGATTTGGTCTGTGGTCACTGATGTCAACTACACACTTGATTCCAGATTTATTTTTATATTTATTTGCACTCAGTCAGAATTTGAGCTGGATTTCCTTCTCACTACACCACTGTCCTCACTCTTCCTCACCCTTCTTCCCGGTGCTTAAAGAAATCCAGTCATTAATTTTTACTGAGTGTTGTACCATGGATATAGTTTCCAAAATCAGACATGGATCCCTCTGCTTTTGTGGCAATGGTTTTTCCATGGTACATTGCTCTCCAAAACCAACTAGTCAATGAAGTCCCTTAACACGGAATGAATGAAGATTTGGTCTGTGATTGTAGTGTTTGTAGTCATTTCATCAGTGATCTTTTGTCCACATCAAGTAATTGTACATGAGAAGCCATGTTTATTCAGTTAATGTTTGTCTTGTTCTTACAGTTGTCCCTGAGTTCTATTTGTTTAGTTTATATTTTAAAAGGCCACTGTTGTATATTCCACACAGACGTTTCATTTAAAATGTAATTAACTGCACTTTAAAAGATAATGTGTTCATTAGTAATAAAACATTTCAAACTTCAAGTATGACTAATTGCTTTCTTGCTCAACAAAAGAGGACAAACCTCTGCGGGAATTGGACTCATGCTGGGTGTCCCTTATTTTTATTGCTGAAAGGTGGCAGCCCTACTCACAAGTGACTGTCACCACTTGTCAGTGTAATACCATGTGACTGGACCACAGTTGTCCTGCTCCCATTGTCCCTCAGCAGATGCTCCTCTGCTCTGACTGCCACCCAAGTCAGGATCATGTTACCCAGACTGTGGGCTCAACATGCCCAAAGCCCAGCTGGCACCACAGAGAGTAGATGAGGGGGCGGGGCCCAGCTCTGGCACAGACTGTGGGTCAGTCTGTTGTCACTGCAGCCAACATATCCAATGTCATTACCAACTTTTCCTACTTTATTGAATTTTCATCACTCATCTGCTTAATATCCACTTTTCAGGTTTTCACGTTGATATTCTCACTGCAGTGAGCCATGACATTTGGGACCTGTTGGTTGCATGAGCAGTAGTTTGAATCATGTTTTGTATAGAGTTGGGTTATATATATATATATATATAAAATGTCTGTGTGCCACAGGATTGGAAATGAACAGATCAGAGGTACATTTAAGGTGGAGGATGAGATGGTCAATGTTTTGGACAAAGGATGTTGGAGATGGAGTTGCAAGGCTTGAGGAGAGAGAAACCTCTGAGGATATTTGTGGATTTCGTCAGAAAGAACATTGAGATGGCTGGAGTGGAGGGGCGAGGCTGAGATGTGCATAAATGATCTTATCTGGTGAACCCTAAAGGGAACAGAAGTCTGCACTGTATTTTATTTGGAAATATTGAATATTCCTGTCTGCTCCTCTTTTCATTGCTTGACTCTGTTAGTTATTTTTTTCCTGCTCTGTTAGGCACTCGTATTAACTTTAGCAAGAATAGTATAAAAAAAACTAACATGGTCGAAGAATTCTTTTAAAATGAAAGGACATAATATTAAGTTATAGTAATATTTACACCAACTCGGGCAGCAACCAAAAAGTAGTAGAGCTCATCAGTCTAGGGTGAGGTCTGAGCTACTTTTGAAATCTGACTCATGTGGAGTTGCCTTCAGGTGTAACGACAGGATTAGCTCCCACAGCTGCACTCCTTATCTGTGCAAATCATCTTTCCTCAGCAGGTGCGTTCAGATTCCTTCCCCTCACTGGAGAAAATTAATCCACTCAAATCACTGAAGAAATGTGGGTAAAAATGTGGTAAGATGGAAGGAACATCCTCTCCAGAAGCAGACCATTACCCCCTCCCCACACATCCCTGGGCTGTCACCATCTGTCAGTCAACTCACAGGTGACCACCCTGTTAGCTTGACCTAATGCAGGACAATGTCTTGTAAGCGGCTGGTCTGTCTGCCTGTCTGGCCTCAATAGAAATCAGAAAGAGTAACAAAAAGAGCCTTCAAAAAGGTCATCTGTGACAGAAAAGCTTAAAAGCTGACACGTCCAGCAGAGACGACGGCTCGACAAACCTCCTGTGTTGTTGGTGTGCCAGGAAAAGTGTGGTGTTCTGCTCTGTGTGTGTGGCTGCACTGCCAAATTAGATAAAGAGACAGGAACAAACAGATAAGACAGGTCTGCTGAATTATCTTCATTTGTTGAGATGTCCTTGTCTGTTGTCCTTTTCAGCCGCTGTGCAACAGCCAGTCTCGCTATTGATTCTCCATTGGCTTCTTCTGGTGCAGACAGCCCCGACTGAGGGGAGGCATCAGCGCAGTGGAGCAGGTGGGTGAGTGGGCGGCGGGGTGGTGCAGCGGCAGAGAGCAGTCCATCTCCAGATCTCGGCACCGACTTTTCCTTTAACTAAAATCAAGAACATTGATTATGCAAACGTGCATTAGTCGGGTCTGCTCCTTGTGGCTGGATAGAGGGGTTGTTTTAAAGGGTCATGGGAATATTGATGCCTGGATGGCAATGGGTAGGTGTAAGTGTGGGGGTGTGTAGTTCTGAAACAACCCCCACCCACCCATCATCAGCAATAAAAGCTTAACTGGAGAAGAAATCGATTCTGTGTATATGAGGGGGAGAGACAGAGACGCTGGAAGGTCAAACACAAAACAGACTGATGTATCGGCACGGCCAGGAATAAGTGATAGCAGAGCGATTTCACTTTCTGCCTGACTGACGCACTTCACACTGTAAAGGAGAGAACAGGGCGACATATCATCTTTTACAGACTGACACATTGGTGAAAATGTAAATCGGGCGGAGCAGACGTCTCAGGTTGGTTAAGGCCAGTGAAGATTTGTTTATCACCTGGTCGGAGTCGATCGGTTTAATCCTCTGTGCGTCACGAATGTGTCGTATATGGTTTCGACCATATACATTTGAGCTGCGTGACATTAGGAAAACACGACAAGAAACACAGCATGTGCAGTTATGAGGTAATATATCTAGTGGTGATGATATGATCCTGGATCAGTCAGACTAGTTGGATACAGTCCAGACCTGACTGTCCAGCTTTGTGTCCTTCACCACATCGACACTTTTGCTCGCACAAGGTTAAGTTAAAGTGTGAAACAGTTCTTGTAACTAAGTCTTAGTTGTAGGGATGTCCGATATTATCGACAGATATTAGTAAAATTATGAAATATCGGTACGAATTGTTATTGGTTTTTCCTCCTATCATGAAAACCTGATAGTACAATGCCTGGGTTTCACCCGGATGATGTAACCTAATAATAGTTTTGACATTGGAGTGAATTGTCCTTGTCAAACTGTCCTCTGCTGCATATATCAGTATCAGTTGATAGCGGAAGCAGAAACTTAATGTTTGAACAATATTGTCCAATCAGATATCGATAATATTGAACTACTTAGTTCAGTTAAATTGGGACGAGACTTCAAATAAAAAATTGCTTCTCAGAATTACAGACCTGTGTAAGCGGTCAGTAGTGCAGTAGAACAAGGTGTTGAAGAAACAATATAACGCCAAGAATGTGGACGGAGGAGGTGGTGACGGTGGTGTAAATTGAATGTATAGCAAAAGTGCTGGAGGAGTGAGAATCTCCGTCCCAGCGGGGATGTGGCAGACTGAGAGCTTGCACGTCTTTGGATGTATAGATCACCAGAGCTTTGCACTTTTCTTATTGCACACATAAATTACTCAGGCGGCGTGGTGAGCACCTGTCAGTGTGTTATGTCACACCAGGGGGAAGAGGCAAATAAGTCGTAAGGACCGTAAGTGGATAAATAACACAGCATAGCACGTGGGAGGATTGGGCAGTGCTGCTTTATACAAATACACTGACCCTCCTGTTATTGACGGCACAGACAATCGATGGCATACAATGGCCGAGTCAGAGGTCAACTGCATCACGAGACGAGTCCACAGACCTGTGTGTAAGGTTTCCTCTCGGGTGTCATCATCTTGGGGAGTGCAGAATGTAACAGAATGTAATCGATTTATCGCAGCTAAGATATAAAGGTATTAAATATGCAAAGGTGGTTTTAAAAAATCTCAAACATCACCAGCTCAACTGCAGTTAAAACCTCCTCAGATGACTCATCCCGCCGCTAACTCTTAAATCTTAAAGTGTGTGACCACAGGTTATTAACTCTTCTGTGTGATCACTGCCACACCGATCCTTCATTACAGCGGGGTGTGATGATGGAGCTTTGTTCCAGCTCATCATAAACTAAGCTGTCACTGCCGCAGCATAAGAAGTGAACATTAATTTGTACTTATTGAACCGGTTAATGAGCTATTCAGGAAAATACCAGTAGTGAGTGTTTGCTTCATTGCTCCCAGTGAACATAAAGTCCTGCTATTAAGAAGACTAATTAAATCCACAAATCAAAACCTTCCACTTTTTTATGTTTTATTAAGGACCTAAGATATAAGTGTGAGTCACTGAGTGGTGACGTGACTGGAGACTAGAGACTAGAGTTTGTCCTTTATTCTTTGTCTTTTATTGGTTTATTTAACCGTGTCTGCTGCACTGCCATGTGTCCATGTCTCTGTCTTTGGTAACAGTGTTCATTTTAACAGTGAATTCCAGTTTAGTCTTTTGACTAAATCAGACTTAGTCTTGGTCCCAGTTCAGTCAATAGAAACAGTTTAAGTCAAAGAAATAGCAAAATATTTCAGTTAAATTAAAATTACATTTAGTCCACTCAAACACAATGTGCAATTTTCATGCTTGTGAAATTTAACTGTTTAACTCTTTTCAAAATATTAATTGGGCATCTGTGGCATTTTAATAGGAACCTCTATTCAAAGAACGTTTTTATTTACATTATTAATAGAATAATTTAGTTTGTATTGCATTATATATGGACAAAGTTTGCAGTATATTATCATTCTTTAACTTTTGCATCAGGATCCAAAGCACTGACATTATACTACAGTGAACTTCACTGAGTGAATGTCAATGACGTCACCATTTATAATGACTTTTTTATAGACTAATTATATTAATAATAATTCATTGAATTCATTCAATTTGTGTGTTACTGTGTGTGTGTGTGTGTGTGTACCTGGGATATCTAGACTTTCAGGGACGTGTTTTTCTAATGGTTAAGATTAGGACAAGAGTCTGAGGAATGAGTTGTGTCTATTTGTTTACATGTCTTTGTGTGCGTACTGTTATCCAAGGAATCACACTGTTTACCTGAACCCTTTTCCTGTCAGTCTTCCCTGCTGTGTCGTGCAGCTGTAGCAAACACAGTCTGCATATAAACAAAAACCTCATTATGATCCTCACAGGTTGTTTAATATATAGTTTCACCTCCTCCAGAGGATACATGACATAAAACTATTCTGATGCTTCGACTCTCTGTAAATATATGCTCGGCGCACGTGTGTCTGGAACAGTCTGTTGCCTCCAGCCTCTCTATTAACAACAACAACAACAACGACACATTTTCCCAGGAATTTGAAATGGAAGATCAAATGTTTATGTCTGCCCTTGGTACAAAAAAAGAATCCTTGTCATCAGTAAAAAAAAAAAAAACACTACAAA